AAGCGTATCATGATGTTGTTGAAGAGGAACTTCTGCACACGGGCGCTTGTAATTGTCTCTAGAGGTTATGCTTCTATCCACTTTGTAAAATAATCGACGGTGATGACAAGGTATTTCTTTCCGAGCGGGCGTTAGGAAACAGTCCCAACAGGTCTAGTCCCCACCTCGCGAATGGCCATGGGCTGACGATTCCTCTCATCTCGGAGGCAGGTTGGTGGTGTTTGTCCGCGTGAACCTGAAAGGCGTGATATTCTTGGACAACCTTGAGCGCATCCTTCTTTATGGTAGGCCTGGAGTAGCCCTGGAGTAGGATAGTTCTCTCAAGACTCCTTGGCCCTATATGTGTGGCACAAGTGCCTTGTGTATCATTTGCAGCACGTGAGTTGCTTCCTCGTTTTCAAGGCATTTCAGATAGGCTCCAGAAAAAGATCTTTTGTATAGTTCGCCATCTACGACCGAAAAGCGAAGCGCTTTCCTGCGAAGGGCCTTGGCTGTTGTTGGATCTGTGGAAACCTCATATTTTTCAAGGAAGTTGAGGATCCCATGTCGCCAGTCTTCCTCTTCCAGATCATTCACGCTCTCCAATTGGGCCACTTCTTTGGCGACTGTGACCTGCCTTTTCTCCCTCAAAATCCATAGCCGTGGCGAGTTTGGACAATGCGTTCGCGTTCCCGTTGTTCTCTCTTCTTACTTGCTCCAAAGTCCATTCTTCCATTTGGGCTAGGGACCCTTGGGCTTTGCCAACTAGCTTTGTAAGCTCCTCTTCTTTCGTTTCAAAATTTCCATTCACTTGCCGCACCATTAATGCGGAGTCCGAGTATATTCTTACTCTCCTCGCCCCCATGCTCGCGATGAGCCTCAGTCCATTGATCAGCGCCTCGTACTCTGCCACGTTGTTGGTTTTGAGCTCATTGAAATGCACTGTGATTTCATGAATGACTCCCTCAGGAGTTTCAATCACTATACCCGCTCTTGCTCCGCCTTTTCCCGCTGCTCCGTCCACCGACAATTTCCACGCCTCCTGAGATGATGCTGCTTCTCCATCCAACGTGAAGCCTTCGATGATAAAGTCAGCAAGAACTTGTGCTTTGATGGCTGGTATGGGGGCGTAGGATATGTCATGCTCGCTGAGCTCAACTGCCCACTTGGTCATTCTCCCGGAAGCGTCCATTCTGTGGAGTATCTTCTTGAGCGGCAGGTTGGATAGGACGGTGATGGGATGCCCCTAGAAGTAAGGGTGTAGCTTTCGGGCGGTCATTGCTACCGCGAGGATAGCCCTTTCAACCACGAGATACCTTGTTTCCGTCGGGAGCAAAGCCTTGCTGGCGTAGTATACGGGCTAGTCCCGCCCATCCTCCGCCGTTCGCCTCACCAATACTGAGCTCACCGCTTGTTGGGAAACAACCAGATATAGGAAAAGTCGCTCTCCCTGGAGTGGGGCGCTCGGCACAGGCGGCGTTGATAACTTCGCTCCATTTGAATCTCGCTGGGGATTTTTTCAATACTTGGAAAAATGGTGAGCACTTGTCGGCGGAGCGTGGGATGAATCGGCTTAGGGCTGCCATCTTTTCGTTAAACGCTTGGATTTCTTTGATCGTTCGAGGCGCTTTAAGTTGGAGGATTGCCTCGATTTGCTTTGGATTCGCCTCGATTCCTCTCTTTGTGATTAGGAATCCTAGGAATTTTCTTACCTCTGCTTCGAAGACGCACTTGGATGGATTTAGGCGCAAGTCGTGGCGCCTCATATTGGTGAAGGTTTCCCTTAGGTCTTCCAGATCTGTCCCTGCTTCTTTGCTTTTTACGAGGACATCGTCGACGTACGCTTCCGCGTTTCTTCCCAGCTAGTTGCGCAACACGGCGTCTACCATCCTCAGATACGTCGCCCCCGCATTCTTGAGGCCGAATGGCATCACCACCCAACAGTTGTATCCCGTTGGCGTCATGAAGGTCGTCTTCTCTTGATCCTCTTCGGAGAGGAAAATTTGGTGATATCCTGAGAACATGTCTAAGAAACTTAACATAGTATGGTTGGTCGTGGCGTCAATGAGCTAGTCGATCCTGGGGAGTGGGTACGGGTCCTTGGGGAAAGCGCTGTTGAGACTTGTGAAGTCTATACACATTCTCCAAAGACCTGAACTTTTCTTGACAAACACCGGGTTCGCCAGCCACGTGGGGTACCACACTTCCCTTATGAACCCTGCCTTTAGCAGCTTTTGTATCTCTTCGTCCAAGGCCATCTGCTTCTCAATTGATATGTCCCGCCTCTTCTGCTGGACGGAGCGCACGTTTGGTTTGACTGCCAGGTGGTGTTCTGCCAGCTCTCGCTGTACGCCGGGCATGTCCTCGGGGCCCCATGCGAAAAGGTCCGCAAATTCTCGTAGTAGCTTGACCATGCTCTCCACTTGCTCGGGCGAAAGGTGCGCCGAGACCCAAACTTTTCTTTCTGGCTCCTCTTCGCGCAAGACGATCTCCACGTCACCCTCTAGGGCTTCTGGTCTCGGCGCATTCCCTTGTGTGTCCACAAGGTCTACATCCAAGTGCTTGATTGTGGCTTGATAGCACTCTCTCGCCAGTTGGGAATTTCCCCTAACGCATCCCACTCCGTTCCCCACAGGGAATTTTAGTCGTGGGTGACAGGTGGACGGTACCGCTTCGAAAGCACAGAGGAAACCGCACCCCAGAATTGCATTGTACGCGGAAGGACAGACCGCCACGTGGAACTCCATTGGCTTGGTCTTGGTGACGCTCCCTTCCCCCACGGTTACTCGAAGCGTGATCACGCCTAACACTTTGATCTTGGATCCTGAAAAACCCAACAACTGTGTTGTTGATGGCTTAAGATCCTCGAGGCCTCTCTTCATACTTTTCAGTGTGGAGAAAAATAGATCCTCGAGGCTTAAAAGTTGTAAATGACAGTTAGTATACTTCTACTATCATGTATTCAACCATCCTACAGTCTTGGCTTGTTCATACCACCATAGTACGCTTTTCAAACCATAGTATGCTCTTATTTCAATACCAGTCATTACCATATGGTATAGACTGGTAAAAAATGACTCAATTTTGTTTGTTCAAAAAATATATCATAGTGGATATCATTTTGAAAGCACAATTAATCTGATCTAACTATGAAAAAAAAATTAAATTTCGACTTAAAACGAGTGAGAAATCATCCGTCAAAGATTAAGAGGAAAATTAAAGGCTTTCCAGGAGAGAGAGAGGGATACTGATGTGGATGGGTTACTCATAGTTAATCACCATAAGGTTACTGACCTGATCTGTTCCCCTATCTTGAGCCACCGTATCCCATCCCAATTATTGTCCAAGTTGAATGTTTGTGAGCCCCACCGTTCAACTAAGTTCTCGTCGATGTGTTTGGGTTAAATTCTCACATTCTATCATTTAGAGGACATTTTCTTACTAACTATCACTCCTTGTGTGTTTGTTAGGTATTCGTAAGAATTAAAATACTTTTAGACGTATGCTCCAAGTTTTCCTGTTATGAAAGAAACGCTTCTTGTCACTCGATCCCGGGGTAAAAAAATATGAAAAAGGTTTAGGGTCGTTTGCTTGCTGCATGAATCTAAGAAATGAGAGTTTTGGAAAACCTAGATTTATTATATAATAAATTTGGTGGCATCATGAATTTGAAAGAGTATGTTGTTTGTTTATTGAATTTTATTATAGGTTTTGTTTGATTATATTTGTTGGTATGATGAATTTTTGAACATTACCCAAATCTCACCTTCAATTATGCAAACAAGGAACTTTGAGACAAGTAATGAACTGGACTTCCAATCCATATCACTCACCAAATCCATGAACCAAATGACCCCTTAATTTCTATTTTCTCTTTCGTTATTTACCCTAGTTCGATTTATGTCAAGCATTATGATAATAATTTTTATTTGTGACACATTTTGGTTATATGATGACGTTTTTAATTATTATTATTATTATTATATAATTAAAAGCACAAAAATTTTCACCGTTCATTAAGAAAAAACATGCTATTTTTTCTCCACGGTACTGTTCACAATATGATTTTATCCCATATACCCTATTTCATCGTAATCCATTTCATTCTCATTTTCTGCAATACTATTCACACGAGTTTTATTCGCTAGAACCACTTCTATGACAAGCCTAAAACTCATACGAAATTCTACGATAAGTTTTTTTTCTCTACATTCAACTTAACATTATACAAAGATTTCTTAGATCGGTTATTAAATATATAATTATTAGCTAAAACTCCTTTATTTTCAATGTTTATTTTTAAATAATGTGAACAATATTTAGTTATTCGTTTTCTATTAACCAAAATCCCATAAAATATTTAACTGATCTAATTATACATTACTTTCTAAAGTTTAATTTTTCATTAGACCATGCATTATAAAATATTTATTTAATGATGTTATATATTAGTTCTTTATCTCCTACATCTAATTTTATCATAAGCTAGTTAACTTTGACACAACAATTTGATCATTCCTTTCCTGTTACTTTCTAAAATTTTATTTTATTATTAGACCACATGTTATGAAATAGTTGTGTAATAATAACATTCAATAATAGTTACATAAATTAAAAATTCATCAATGTTACAATAATTTGATTTTATTATTAAATCACACATTATGAAAATTTATTTAATAATATGTAAGTTTTCTATGATGATTAAACACTACGTAAACCTTATGTAAAAATAGTTATTTACTATGTATCTGTATCACTTAAACATCCGCATGACATATGTTATTCGAATGACTAAGACATCACGTATAAATTATATATGTGTCTTATCCGAATAATTTTATAATTTATTGATTTAAACTAAATTATTAGTTTCTTACCGCAGCTCCGCCGCGGGTCAAAAAACTAGTTTATTAGTTTTACATTAACTTTATCATATAATAATATATAATATGTGATTTTATAAACACATCATTACCAATTTAATAATTATTAACCATTAACCGTCCACCACTTAATTTTTTGGAACAATTTCTGGTATTCTTTTTCTGGAAACAAAGAAAATAACAAAACCATAAACTGCGTCTCATGCAGACATACTCTGTAGATATCTTCCACTCGTTCAATGGCGCAAACGACCAGAAAAGTATAAAGCCTTATCTTCTTCTTCCTCCTTTCTCCATCGTCCCTTGGCCGTTTGGTGCCACTCTAATGGCTTCCACTCATATTCCCTCCCTCTCATCCCTGATCCCTCTTCTTCAATCCAACCGTTTCTGCAGCAAACCACCATTAGCAGTCTTCACCCTGATCACACAAAAGAGTCGAAACCCACCAGCAATCAGACCCATAAACTGCAGCAGCACCACCAACGGCGCCGCAGCAAACTCAGAGCTCAACGAGACCTCCCTCGACAACGCAACCACAACAGCCAACGGCTCGCTCCCGGAACCCGCACTTCCCTTCTCCACGACACTAAACAACAGCAACTTCCCCATCGAGAAGCGGCGGAGGTCGGAGATCCTCAGGGAGAGAAGGAAGAGCCAGAGCGATCTGCTGAAGCCGGACGGGCCGCCCCCGAACTACGAGGTCGGATGGAGGAGGACGAAAGAGATCAAGGTGGAGAAACCAGTAGGGTACATGATAATGGATTTCCTGGAGAAGCTGGAAGGGCTAATGGAGAGGGAGTTCGGCTCCACTCAGCTGCTGGCGAAGGTCGGGGAGATAGTGGCAGAGAGGGCAAGGGAAGAGGCCGAGTTGCTCAAGGATGAAGGCAAAGTGGAAGAGAGGATGGTCACTGAGCTGTTCAGAGTTTTGAGGCTGATGGAGATGGATTTGGCCATGGTGAAAGCTGCTGTGAAGGAGGAGACTCTGGAGGAGAGGCTGGAGCAGGCTAAAGCTAGGTGCAGGCAGGCTATTCTTGTTGCCAATTCCTTTTGATACATGTGCTTTTTCATGTAAAGAAAACCTTGATCATGGGGGAGACCAAATGATTCATGTTAAGAGTAGGGATTTGGTTATAATAAACAACACACCAGAGATACCGAAGAGGAAAGTGACCATTTCTTGTAGCTCAGGGATTCTCTTCGCAGGCTTAAAAGAAACAGTACGAGATCGATATTATCTTTATCTGCAACTCAAGCCATTAGAAAGAAATCATTCTCAACATGGTACAAAGAGAGGGCTCTCGTGCTTGAGTACTCACGAGTAAGCTCACGAATTCGATTATGTATGTCAAAACGTGTAAAGGAATCGTATCAGATCGATACTCAAAAACATTTTCTAATTAAGATTTCTCATCACTTGTATTTGGTATTTTGAAGTACATCATGTGATTTGTTCAGGGACTATCAACAATTCAAGTGTCCCTAAATTGAGGGTATACAAAATCAGTAACAGCAAGTTAATAGATCTATTCTATACTTGTTCCTGGGCACCCGACGTCTTGTTCTTTCCATCAAGGTTCCCCTAAAAGAATTGCCATCTCATCTCTGAGTGGTTTGAAGTCAGGACGGCTATTTCTATGGCAGAACGAACTAACCCTATTGTCTTCTACTTTTTTCTGGGTTTAGATTTGTAGGTTACCTGACACGCTCCAATAATCATACGGACGTGAGGGTCGTCTTTTGGTATTTTAGTTAGGAAGCTTTTGGCAGTGGTGTGGCTTCCACAAGCCAGAAGAACTTGGTACATCCTGCACAAGCAAAAAAAAAAAAAAAAAAAAAGGAATAATTTCAGAGACAATGTAGCAGGCAGAGATCTGTGTCATTCCTACTTAAGGAACATACCTCAAATAACTCAAGACATTGTAAGGAAGACCAGCCAGTTCATACTCTTTCCACACGGAACGTGCATGAGCCAAGTCCTTGGCCCTGCCGCAAGTATGCAAAAGAAAATCAAGACTTTTTCGGGAAGGGCTTACACCAAGTTCACATTTGATTATTCCTAGCAACTTTAATCCGATCTCTAAGTCTGGTCGTTCTGTATCAGCGATAGTTGCAAAGAACTGCAAGATTTTGATATAAACAATAGAGAAGATCATGGTGTCAGTCAATGGTGTTGACAGCATTTAGAGAAATCGACAATGAATACAACTGAAAAAAGAAACGGCTGGAGACAACCAAGACAACACAGCCGTAGACAGATAACTGGAAAGACCATCATCTTCAAACTAAATACATTGTGAGCAGATGACAAGGTAGTAATGGCCAGGAAATCAAACCTCATCAAATAGCACTTCCATTGTGACTTCGTCGTCTGAAAATTTCTCCATGAGTAGTTTGAGCAAATCATAAAGACAACTGAATATGAAGGATATTATTAGACGCAAGCTTTAACCAGCAAGAGAAGGATACTAAAGAAAATACAAACATTCTCAAGTAATCTGATTGTTGTTTACCTGGAATGCTTATTACGAATACAATGTATCACAACCCTGCAACATGCATCTACCCAATACTCAGAATCATGCACTTCTTCCAACAGTGCAAGTAACTCGCTTATCTCTCCATCAGATGGAAATTGCTCCTATGAGTAAACAGATTATATATAACAGAGGTCACGAGTCCTGGACATATGTGACAATTACAAAAACAAATTTGGTTTCCCTTCATAAGTGAACTTACAATTAGATTTCTGACAGCTTTTGACGTTATATTGTTTCCTGCGTCCTTAAATTCCTTGTATATAGCAAGTGCATCAAAAAATTGTCCATGGCATGCCAGAGCAGATACGAGAACACTTTTAACGTCCTCATCTACAGTGGTTTTGTCCAATAGTACCTACCGTCCATGAAATCAATGGTACAAAATAGATATTAAGTTTCTTTTTTCTGAACTTGAGTAAAGTAAAAGCCTTTATCAATACCTGTTTTGCTTTCTCAAAATTTCCAGAGGCTGCATATGCATTGACAAGCGCCATTGGAACATGCTTTGTAGATTTAACAACATCAAGCTGCATCTTTTCGTGATACTAACCAAAACAATAAACATGGAATTTCACATGAATCATCTTCATGCATTATACCCAGTGCTGTAAGAATGTGCCAATTTTATCATTCCTGTAGGTTTGAGAAAGCAATGCTACCTTTACAATTTGATCTTCACTCACACAATTGCCTATCAAATAGCTGTAGGTCTGAGAATCTGGTTTTACATCCGCGAGCTCCATGTCCTTCAGAACCTTCAGTGCACTATACGTATTCTTCTGCAAAACATTTTGCTAGAAGTTAGTTGAATATAGAGACCATAAACACTGACATTCAAAACGGTTTTGGCAGGCCAGGCATCAATGAAGCCACCTAATCAAACTAACAATTAACAATGACAGCACTGGCTGCGAGGTCAATGGGCAGCACTTAGAAGTTCTTATTAGCATTAGTATGTTGACAAGTAACATTGCAACTAAAAACGAAGTTATTTCCTCCAATAAATATCATTTGAGCCCCCTGCATCCCATCTTGAAACTTGAGCAGACTAGCATAGCTAAAAAGGTCGACAAGCTAATAGTTAACTTTGTTAACTATTAGTTGTCATTTGTCAACTAGTAAAAGTAAAAGGTAATATAGGTAGGAAGAATCACCTGCCGGAAAAATCCTCCCATTATAACGTTAAACATGGTTGCTGTAGGTTTGAATCCCCTGTTCTTCAGATCTTCAAGCATGGCATATGCCAGGTCAAACTGCGTTATTGAAACAAGGTTGCAGAAAACCAATAAAGAAACTATACACCCAAGGAAAAGAGAAGGATAACTAAGAGTAAAAAAGAAGGATACCAGAAGTACAAATATAGACCAAAAAGGGTAGGAACTTACGTCCTTTATCCTCACACTCAAGGTTATCAGTTTCCTGAATGTATCAATAGTTGGTTGCAAATCATGATTGCTCAGCAAGGAGTACATCCTCCGGACCTTAATTGAACAAGGAAAAACAAAGCAACATAAATAAGCGCCAATAGTTACAAACACTAGTCAAATTGATCACTGGAAAGGTGGCCTGTTAACCAAACAAAAGGAAGACAAAACATTAATATATTGCCAGTTTAAACTACAATTACTCAAAACTTTCTATACAAGTAAAAGAGGTAGAAGTGGCATTCCTAATCGAGTAATCGACACATTAGAACTCCAAAACACAACTTCATGAAATATATGATATAATACCTGGAAAAGCTTTAAAAACCCAATGATCAACTATCAACTAAAAAAAAGCAAGCAAAAAATTCCACCCGAAGTTTCCTGACTCAAGGGCGCATAAAAATTACTCACTGGTAATGAAACAATGACTATCAATGGGCAAAAATTGTCTTAACCAGGCAATTACCAGAATATAGTCCGAGCTTTCATCTATGGCATCCAGTAGTTTACAAAACGTGTCCATGGATAAGGATAATTGATCTTCATATATTTGGTCGACCAAGTCAAGAGCAACGTAAACCTGTATAACAACAATAGGGAATCAGTAAAGGGTAAAATCCTGGAAAGCCCAGATAAAAGTTCAAAGATTAAGTTAATTCATAGAGTAATTGGAGTACAATTATTGAGCAGCAACCTGGAGTCCAAGTATCCATTTCTTGAATAGATTAGAATCCAAAACGATAACAGCTTGGGCACAACATCAAATCGTACCTTGAGTTTATCACAGCAGTAAGCTATGAGCTGCTCATAAGAACCCATAGAAGGTTTTATGCCCAGGTTTGAGTGCAGCTCTTTGAACTTTAAAATGACATCTTCAACCTTCAATAACCCATCAAAATTAGCACACCTTCTAAAGTCAATAAATAAAGTAGGTAACTAAGAAAGAGAGTATGTTTATTTCAGTGCGTCCATAAGATATTGCACATATTTTAAAAGAGAGATGTAGCCAACCGAAGTTCTTTTGCATAACACTGTAAATGCAGAGCTTCTGGGTGATGAAACAAATAGAATATAGGCTTTAAATGCAATCAGCTATCAAGTGACATCCTAATAAACAGAGGGCCAACTATACAAAGAGAACTGCTTTTAGATGCACCTCATAGCAGTATGGCCAGAGACATTACAAGCAACATTCATGTAAAATCCCCACCTCTAAATTTGGAATTCCAGTAGCATAACTACAGACAAGAGTTGAGATTTTCTCTGCATCATTATCTGCATTCAACCAGGAATAGAATTAATTTACAAACAAGGCTCAAAGCTCGGACAAACTTATGGGGATTTAGTGCCCTTGGTCCTTAATAAGAGTCATATAAACCAAATGAGATTTTCTCTTTATAATAGAATTCATTTACATACAAGGCTCCAGTAGGACTGCCTCTTGAACTTTTCACTCGTTTATAATAAAAGTATATAAGATCATACTAAAATGCAGTTCGAAAGCAATAGTTTAATTTCAACAGTGAACCAATAATATCACTTCAGTAAATTCGTACCCCAAAAGTTCTCATACTTCACAGAAATTAGGGTAACTTACTTCTTAATTCGGTAGTTAGCAGTTACTATATGGCGCCACTGCTAGATGCGTGACAATAACGTGGCAAGGAAGAGATAACTTAACTTACCACAACTTTTGCATGCCAAAAGGAACTTCATCGCGGAGGACTCCAGAGACAACCTTCCAAAGGTATTAAAGATCGTGGAAATATGCTCTACTGACTCAAATCTTGTTACATCAATAACGTCCAACAGTGGCAAAATATTATTCTTCCGGTTACTTTCACAAAGTGCTATAAAATAATTTTCTGCAACCACACAATGACGTATAAATTTTTACAGGAACTGAGAGAATCCTTCAGAAAAATTGGATTATTTCTCTGAAACTGCTAAAGCACAAGCCACTTACCATGTATCCTGAGATTCTTAGTTTCGCAACCAAGAGATATTGTACTGCAGAGTTCTTGAATCTTTTGCTCATCACCAACTCTAATATATTGCAGCATCTCATAGTAACCTAATCTTGCAAGAGAGCTAGGATTCTCAGTTTTAATGGTTTGATGAAGAGAATGAAATTCTTGAACCATGCTCTTATCAATAAGGTACAAAAGCACAGGTCCATAGGTATTTTCTTCAATCTGGAAACCTTGTTCCTTCATCATGGCGAGGAGATGAAAGCACACAGACATTTGCTTCGAGATAATCTCATCATCTTTAGTTTCCCTGGCTATCTTTAAGCAGCTCTTTATCAATGCATCATACTCTTTTACGCCTGTTCCTTGCCGCAACTTTCCAAATACATTTAGGGTCTGCTCTGGTCCAAGCTTCTCGGCGCATGTTCTGGCTATCCGCTGAACATGATGTTCCTGACCAGAGCTGAAGATGAATTTATCTTTACTCGCACGTCTCACGTCTTTCCGTTGTGAAGAGATATCTGCACTTGTGAGATTTGGAAAAAAAGGGATATCCAATCTAATTTCTGAAGATGTCTCATCACTGGCTCCCTTTGAATTGGGCCAGAGATCTGAAACAGTATCTGCAAAAATGACAGTTGATAAACAGAGTTCAAAGGTATTCCACATATTCGTATACCCCAAGTCATGATGAGTTCATGATTTGGAATGATGATATCTTCCTAGTTAGCTATTGAAGAGTGTTCGTAGTTCTCTAGTCAATACTCCATCAATAGTATTAGTAGCCAATAATACTACCATAATGATACGTTCTACCTCCCACAATCCTCTATACTACAATGGCTCGTGGGATCGCGCTGCCCAGCTAGTACAATTAGAATCCCCAAGAAGAAATTTGATGAGGAAATGAAGAACATACCGATCATTATGGTCGTTAGGTCCCCTGTCAGCTCAAGTGGGGCATCATCTACATGTAGCAGAATACAGTCCATCAGAATCATTCATGCGATTTTGGCGCCCAGAGGGAACCAACCTGTACCTGAGTCGTTACTGGAAGCTTCCATCTTGCGATCGGGCAGCGTGGAACTAGCTGAAGCAGGACTCTGCTTTGATTTAAGGGAGCATTTCTTTAGGGTTTTAACGGAGCCTTCGGTCGTCGAGGAAGATGCTGCTGCGGCAATTCGCGGGGAGCAGGCTGCGATGGTGGCGGCGGAGGAGGGGGTCGCGAGGGCAGGAGTACTGCATTTCTTCGAGGTTTTAGCAGAGCGCTTGGTGGTAGAGCAGGCGTTGATGATGGGAGCGCAAAGTTGTAGACCATCGTTGGTAGTGGTCGGAGGAACGGCAACGGGGCCGGCGGAGGGGGTTTTGGAACGTCGTACTGCGACACGGAAAAAGGAGCTTAGGGCTTGACCTTTAGCCATTTAGGAAGAATGTGTTGGCAGTGTGGCTGGACCGGAAAAGAAAAGGCTGCAACCAGCCGTCGTGGCTTCTGTTCTTCGCTTCCGCTGCCGCTTCCCTTTTCTGTTTTCCCGGCGAGGTGAAGGGTTTATCTCCCACGGCGGCGGTGTACAGCCGCTGGCGCCTGGAAACCAGTTTGTTTCTTCCATTACTGTAGACAGTCGCGTAATAGATTTTTCTCGGACTCGTGGCCGGAGCTGAGGAAACACAACCTCGGGCCCGTTTTAGGCCCACAATAGAAACTCTAATCTGGTTAGGCCCAGCTTCTAATTCGATTATGCTTTCACTATGAGGATGGGCCTTGGATCCGCTGCCAAGGAACATGGTGATAATCCAAATGTAATTTTGGAGGGCGATTTCACAATTTACATTTTGATTATACAAAATACTAAATTATTTTAATACTAAGCAGATATTGAATTTTCAATTTATTGTTTTACTTGTAAACTTCAAATACATATCAACAACTAGTAATTTGAAATTCGTCATAGCATCATATATTTTTTTTTTTTGTAAAATTGTAAAAGATCAGGTACTAAAGTGCAAGGAATAAGTATATAGTTACCAAAACATAATTTTAACACGAAATTTTTTTTATCTAGTTTGAACAAAAATTAAGTTTACATACTAAGTTGTAAGAAAAATAAATTTAGATACTACAATGTGATTTTTCAAAAGAATGTCATGTTGGGTTAGCAAACTCAATTAAAAAAAATCTGAAACACCAAAAAGTTGGAAATCAATATCCAAACAATGAATTTTAACTGTATGCAAACATTTCAAATTCACGATTTCATATATATGCATTGAAATCAGGATTTTAACATGCATTATACCTATATAATATTTTCACAATTGTTTTTTTTTTGTAAATTTCTCTGTTCTACTAAGTTTTTGGTGTTCTCTGTCACTTATTGGTGTTCTCTGTCACTTATGTAATGTCAATATATGTGTAATTGTTAAAATGTACGTTGTAATTATAAAGAAAAATTATTGTCGATAAATAACTGTGGATACCTAAAATCCAATTAATTATAAGTATAAATAAAACTCGAACTATTTTAAGTAAGATAATGTACATATATTTTCCGCTACCCAATACATTATATACACGACTTACAAGCGCACATCAGTAAACTTAAATCCAATTAGGGCTAGCCTACAATTCGATTTGCTTAACTACCGGGCTGGCCTTTTTTTTTTTTTACTTCCAAAAAGTGGGCGTGCCCATCTTTTTTTTTTTTTTGACAATAACGTTCAACTTTTATTCCACTTCCATCTCGAAAAAACAAAGAAAGCGAGAATACACTTTATCAAAGGAAATCCGAAATTAGGTCAAGAATACTAATCCAGTCAACAGGGAGGGAGGATCTAGCAAGTGATCGTGCAACCCAATCAGCTCTAACATTGAAAGCACGTAAAACTGCCTTGACCTTCACATGAGGGTTCGTTCTTAAGATTGAGACCATTGAACCAATCCAAGCTGCACCTCGCCAAGGCCAATTTCTTGGCTCGTCCGAGAGAGCTTTGACAATCCGCTGGCAGTCTGACTGGACAACACATTCCGTGCCATATTCTTGGGCTAATTTGAGACCTTCTAAAAGGGCTTTCGCTTCGGCTTCGAGTGGGGTGGAACAAAGAAGAGTGTCAGCTCTCCCATCACACACTTGACCATGGTGGTTAGTGACGACCACACCATATGCCGCCAGCTGGGAGTCGTTTAAGAACGACCCATCATAGTGAATCACAACATTGTGATTGCTTGGCAGTGGAGAATTGAGTGATTGGGCTCCCCTGAGCTGAGTAGAAGGAGAGTCATTGGGGGGACTCCTCGGGCAGCTAGTCTATTCCGTGAGTTCCTTGTAAGTTCGCAAAATAACGTTCGGATGCCAAGGGATCCGATTCTTGAACACACATTCATTTCTAGCCTTCCAGATATTCCAGCACAGGAAAATAACATGGGTGAGGGCTCCTGGTTGGATAGAGTCCTTGAGTAGGTACAACCAGTCAAGGAAAGCAGTATACTGAGCTGGCAGCGGGAGGTTTGGGAAGATAACTTCCCATGATTCCCTCGCATGGGGGCATTGAAAGAGGCAGTGGAAGAGGGACTCAATCGGCCATTGGCACACTTGGCAAGTTGCATTAGGGGAGCATTTCCTATGCAGAAGTCTCTCTTTTGTTGCCAGCTCGTTCCTGGCACATCTCCAGACAAAAAATTTGAGCTTAGGCGGAATATTCAGACTCCACACCCATTTCCATTTCTCCACATTGCCCATCGTTTGGGGGTCCGTAACTGACGAATGAACCGCATGATACGCTGTCTTGACCGTAAACTTCCCATCTTCATTAAATTTCCACGCCCAGAAGTCCTTAGCGTCCTCCTCCCCAATCGGAACTCTCAAAATAGCATCTCTTTCTGGAGGAGAGACCTGTCTCTGGATCATCTCATCATTCCACGTCATGCTTTCTGGATCAATCCAGGACCTGACTCTTGCATGATTTTGTGGGCCACTCTGAATGCATGCTCTGGGGAGGAAGGGAACCCACGGATCTTGATCAATCCATGTATCATCACCGGATCCAATAACTTTAATAGCTCCAAGATCAATGACTTTCTTAGACTCCCAAAGACTCGCCCAGATCCAAGATGGTTTGCTTCCTTTTTTAGCCGAGAGGAAATTGCCTCTAGGGAAATAAAGTCCTTTGATCAGAAGACTCCAAAGTGTATCAGTGTTGTTCATAAGCCTCCAGGCTTGTTTGGCAAGCAGGGCCAGATTGAAATCTCTGAAGCTTCGGAAACCCAAACCTCCCTCTGATTTTGGGGTACAGAGAACCTCCTTCCTGCACCAGTGGAGGTTGCTTTTCTGCATCGACCCTGGCCAGAAAAAATTGCTAAGGAGAGAGTCCATTTTCTTCGTCAGTGAGACTGGTAGAAGGAAAAGGCACATGATGAACGAAGGGATGGCCTGGATAACCGACTTGAGAAGGACTTCCTTCCCTCCATGTGAAAGAAGTAGGCTCTTCCAAGCTTCCCCCATCTTTTCCATCCTTTGAATAAGGAAGTAGAATGTTTCCTTCTTTGAATTTCCCCATTCTGTCGGGACACCAAGGTATTTAGAATGACAGTTGGAGGATGCAAATCCAATGTGATTGATGATATCATTCTTCTCTTCAACAGGAACATTCGCGCTGAAGAAAATAGATGATTTATGTATGTTTACTTCTTGACCAGTTATTGCCCCATAGTCGTTGATGACCTCCAATATTCTTCCAGCCTCTTGGATGTTAGCTTTCCCAAAAATGACCGTATCATCCGCAAAAAGACAGTGAGTGAGAGTAGGGCATCTGGAGTTGAGCTTAATTCCTTTGATTCGTTCTTCCATCACAACTTTGTCAATCAGGAATGTGAGCGCATTAGACATAAGGATGAAGAGAAAAGGGGATAGAGGGTCTACTTGTCTAATGCCTCTCGAGGGAGAGAATCTCCCCGATGCTTCTCCGTTGAATAAAACTGAGAAGCTAACAGTACGGATACAAGCACTGACCCATTTGCACCATCTCTCGTCGAACCCATACTGCCTAAGGAGAGTCTCCAGACATTCCTACTTAGGGCTGGGAAAACGGTTGCGGTTTTGCGGTTAAACCGATAATCGCACCGAAACCGCGCGGTTATTGGTTAACCGCAAACCGCATAATTTACCTATTTTGCGGTCGCGGTTGGAGATATGGGCTGTTTTGCGGTTTGCGGTTTAACCGCAACCGAAACCACAAATAAATCTAACCGCAAGGCTAACCGCGAATAGATGGCCCAATCAATTTCCAATCCAACCCAAGCCTCAAAGTCACAAACCCCACCCAAGCCCAACCCGACTCGGCCCTTTTTCCCACTTCTTCCTTTTGCCGTTTTGACTTTTGACGAATCCATTTCCCTTCCCATCTTCCCGTCGTCTGAAAACCCTAACCCAGCAACGGAGAGCAGCAGGCCAGCAAAAATCACCCCACTACCATCCGCCCGCCGTCCGCCGTCTCCGGCTTCCTCAAGGCGGCGCGCCGGCGCCGCTCGACTGCTCCTCTGTTCGCTCGATGCCTCGACTGCTACTCTGTTCGCTCGACGCCTCGACCTGCTCTCGTCGTCGACGCTCTCCTCTCCACACCCTACACGTCGGCCGTCGAGCTCCTCTTCCAGTCTCCACATCTACACTGCTGCCCGTCTGCTGTGAGTAGCTTAACCGCGGTTTGGTAGATTGATGCGGTTGCTGCGGTTTTTACCACCAGTAACCGCGGTTCACCGTTAACCGCTAACCGTGACGGACGCGGTCGCGGTTGGTTAATATGGGTGTTTTGCGGTTGCAGTTAACCGCAAAATGCGGTGCAGTTAACCGCAACCGCACCGTTTCCCACCCCTATCCCACTCCACCATGTCATACGCCTTTTTCATGTCCAACTTCATCATCATATCCCTTCTGTTGCCCAGCTTGTGATTCTTGAAATGATGTAGAGCTTCATGAACGATAATGATGTTATCTTGGATGAGGCGTCCGCCCGTGAAAGCTGTCTGGAGCTCCGAGACCAAAACGGGTGTCCACTTTTTCAGGCGGGTAGACATAATCTTAGAGATGATTTTGTACCTGAAGTTGCAGCAGCTGATGGGTCGGAATTGGCCAATTGTTTCTGGGTGGTCAATCTTAGGAACCATCACAATGTGCGTATCATTCCATCCTTCAGGCATGCTAGCTGATTCAAAGAATTCCTCCACCTCTCTACAGAGGGTTTCCCCAACATTATCCCAATATCTTCTGTAGAATTTACCCGAGAACCCGTCTGGTCCCGGTGCCTTTCTTGCTCCGAGAGAGAACACTGCTCTCCTAATCTCTTCCCTGGTCACTGCTGCACACAGTTCCTCATTCATCTCTCCTGTAACCATCGTTGGGAACCCCTGAAGGAGGTGGGTAAACTCAATGTTATCTCTAGCCTTGAAAAGTTCTTTGAAGAACCCTACAGACAAACCCTTCAGCCCTACCTCATCTTCCACCCAATTCCCCTCTTCATTTCTAAGGCGAAGTATTCTGTTTCTATGCTTTCTGTGAATAGTGCTAGAATGGAAGAAGGAAGTGTTTTGATCCCCTTTTT